TCACTGAGATCGATAACATCTATCAACCTACAAATCTTCAAATGAGAAATCGGATGAAGTAACATGAAAGATGATTTAGCATTGCTTGTGACACATGAACGAGACCTTTTCATTAGATACATTGTGATAATGATTAAATTATAATGACGGCTAGTTGCGGATTGTATATTTCTATGTGACTATACATCCATTAGGGGACAAACTGACTCCCAAACTGACTTCCATATGCTATAGAATATTACAGACTCAGGTACACCAGCAACTACCATACTTTACCAGACTCTGGACAGACCACTTGGACACCAAATTGGGTGAGACAGAGTGGAGCGCTATCTTCAAAGCGATCTTTCAATCTCACTCCAGAATCCATCTGCAGGAAATTTACGATAAGTTTGTTTCGAAATGGTGCATCACTCCAGTACATTCCAACACATATTGTAGACATGCAGATTGGTATCAAGCTTCTGGAAAGAAGTATGGAATACTGTCAATATAGTGACAAAAGTGAATATTCCCCATAACCCTGAGGCACTTATTTTTCTCCATATCACACTGCCGCAAATGCAACTCAAACATTCCCTAATATACTTCATGCTGACAGCAGCCAAATCAATCATAGTGAGTCTATGGAAGTCAGTGATGCAACCCTCTAGGAAAGATTGGTACACAAAAATTGAATACTTTCATACAATGGAGGAACTCAGATGGGGATCTTTAGACTAGTACTATATATGGCAACCATGGCACATTTCATGAAAGGGACACCACAGTGACTTCTCAGAGATATGGGCCAACAAACCCCTCCTGGGGTTTGGACATGCTGAAGGGGACCGAGAGCTCCTAATAAGCTGACCAAAACTACACCTCATCAGGTAGAGACACCTGTCAGTTGGATCATGGTCACTAGCGGACATTACACCACATGAATTTACAGATAAACACAGTTAAGACACTGAGCGTGAAGACGTGAATATGATTAATATTTTATTATGTTATTATTTTAGTTATGGTTCTTTTTACTTTTCACTGTCACACTGTCACACAAGACACTCATACTCTCATAGATGGAGCAGCGTGCTGCGCTGACTGCACTGTCATTGCCCTGCACGGGGTAAATGACACACCACATACCGAGAGTGCTAGGAGAAGAGTTTAGTGCCAATCAAGAGAGGTACAATGTTACCTAATGCTCACGGTATGGAAAGTCTATTGTTCTGATGAACAGCAATATTATTTGCATTTCCAGTACTGTGTGTTGTTTAGAACTATTGTACAGGTCCTGCATTACTATTACTGTGAGCATGAAATGTATTAATATGTATTGATATACTGATCTGTCTTGATGTGTTGAAGTGACAACTCTCTCCATACCTTCAACACCATTATAAATAAAAGAACAGAACTGAAACAATTGTTAGCGGCCCAAACCAAAAATAAATTACTACACATGAAACACTCCTATTATGCCCGGGGAGGTAAATGTGGCAGACTACTGGCCGCTACTTTAAAACACTCCAAAACAAAACTCCTGCATATCAAAGATTAAAAACCAAAAGGGTGAAATATCTCAAACTCTCATGGAAATTATGGATGCATTCCATTCCTTTTACACCAAGCTGTACAACCTCAGAGATCCCCCGCCAAACTGTGAGGACATTAAAAATTTTAAATCCACTAGACCTCAAACAAACTATCTCAAAAATATCACACACTCGTTTGGTACACCATCACACCAGATGAAGTATGCCTAGCAGTATGGAAAACACCCCTAGTTAAAAGCCCAGGCCCAGACAGCCTAACTGCCCGATACTATAAGGTTTTCCTCCCAACCCTAGAAGAACATTTCATCCGAACCTTCAACGCGATCACAAAATCAGCATCACTCCCCCAATCCTCCTTTGAAGCACATGTTACATTAATATTCAAACCAGGGAAAGACCTGACCAACTGTGGTAGCTACCGCCCCATATCGGTAATCAATATAGACCTAAAACTCTTCACCAAAATCTTAGCCAACTGCTTACAACCACTACTCACTACCTTCATACATGCAGATCAGTCAAGCTTTGTACCAGGCCTTAAGGATAAACACAATACCACCAAACTACTGAATTTCATGCACATCTCGCAAACTTTCAGCACACAAAGTCTGCTCCTCTCGGTCGACGCTGAGAAAGCATTTGATAGAGTAGACTGGGCCCTGTTAAAGGCTACCCTTCAAGTGCTTAGGATTTGGCCCAAGTTGGACGAAATGGATTTAGGCAATATATTTGACCTGACTGCAAAATTGAGGATACATTTTGCAGTCGAGGTAGAATATATTGTCCAACTTGGTTCACATTAGAAATGGCACGAGGCAAGATTCCTCACTATCTCCCCTCCTCTTCATTCTGATCTTAGAACCCTTCCTACAATGCATACAAGAGCACACTGATATACATGGAATCCATGTTTATCGCCAAGAATACAAAATCTCTGCGTTCGCAGATGACTTACGTTTTACCATCACAGATCCCATCTCATCTCTACCCCTCTCATGGAGGAAATATCCACCTATCATACCCTATCCAATTTTCAAGTCAACTACACAAAGAGGGAGATTCTACCCTTACACTTAGATGTCAACACAAAAACAAGCCTCCAAGCCACACATCCATTCTCCTGTGTCACAGCTTCAATGATGTACCTAGGGGTAAACCTCCCTCATGATCTTAAACAAATATATAACCTACATTTTCTGCCACTCCTAGAGGGGTATATGAAATATGATCAATCTATAAAAGTGCATATAAAGTGCATAAGAAAACTAACTCATACTTTTAGGGGCTACCAAGAGCTCTGCTCTTGTCACTGCCATATTCAAATCTCTGTTGGACCACCTCACCAATAAGTGTCCCTGGGCAAGATGCCTAATGATATAAATAAGCCTCTTACAGATCTGATTGGCCAAAATCAGCTTTTAACCGAAGAACGTGCATGCCCGTCTCCTGCGTGACGTCACACGTACACCGACATTGTCAACACCGTGGGTCGACGTGGGGCTATAAATTGGTGTGGATCCTCAGCGGCTGGTGTCCACCAACATGTCGCAGGAGTCAGGTACACTGATGCATGGTTGCTGAGTGGCACTTCTGTTATTGTCAGGGAGGCAATTACTGCAGTTACCGCAAGGTGAGGATGAATATGTCACAGTCTGTCAGTAAGTGTATGTCTGTCAGTGAGGGAGTGTCTTTGTGTGTGTCTGTCAGTGATTGTTAAGGAGGAGGTTCCATGGCAAGACAAACCTCCACATGGGGTGCACCACCAGCAAATAGTGGATGTTGCTCACATTACAAAATCCTACCAGCGGTTGGAAAAGACAGGACCGAAAGACAGTACTAATTCTAGCAGCACTGGAACAAGCACTCAGCACCAGATCAATAGAAGCAGTGGTTTACCACACCAGACAAGACCCAAGTGCAGATAAAGAGGCCTTTGAGACATTGTAGCCAGGTGGAAGATGTTAGCAGAAACAGCAAACACTAAGAGGCAAAACCAAGATGCTGGGATTGTGTACTGGAAAATGTACACCAAATATGGGCTGGACTTGCCCAAGTCCAGATGGGAGATACCACAAAGAGGAGTTGAGAATGGCAGGGCTACGATCTTGTCGACTTTCAGATCCAGACAGACAATCAAGCACTGGCCAACCAACCTGACAAGGAACAGAAGACTGCAGTGGTGGTGGATGTGGTAATTTCCAGTAACTGTAACATCAGGAAGAAGGAAAATGAGAAGGTGGACAAATTCCATAGACTGAAAGAGGAGCTAGAAAGGGTGTTGAAGTAAAGGCAGTAGTAGTCCCAGTTGTGCTTATTGTTATTATTATTATTATTATTCATAAAGCGCCAACAAATTCCATAGCACTGTACAATGGGTGGACTAAAAGACAGGTATTTGTAACAAGACAAGTCAAACACCCAGGAACAGAGGGATTAAGGGCCCTGCTCAATGAGCTTATATGCTAGAGGGAGTGGGGTATAGTGACACAAAAAGTAAGAGTAGGGTAGAAAAGTAGATTGCTAGGATAGTATTCATTGAGGGCTTAGTGTTTTGTTTTGATAACAGTTGCAGGAGATGAATTAGGATGTGGGGAGGGAAAGCTTTTTGAAAGTTTAGTTGATATGCTTTCCTAAAGTAACTTTTCAAAGATTTTTTGAAGGAGTGCAGATTGGGTGAAAGTCTAACAGAGAGGGGAAGGGCATTCCATGGGAATGGTGCAGCCCTAGAGAAGCCTTTAAGGCGAGCATCAGAGGTGGGAGTACGAACAGAGGTTAGACATAGGTCTCCAGCAGAGCGTAGGGGTCTAGACGGGACATATTTGTGTATTATTAAGGATAAGTAGGTCAGAGCAGCATTCTGGAGAGATTTGTAAGCAAGCATCATGATCTTAAATTGAGTCCAATATCTCACGGGAAGCCAATTTAGGGACTGACAGAAGGGGGAGGCATGGGAGGTTCCTGTGGAAAGGAAGATGAACCTCGGTGCTGCATTCATAAAAGACTGTAACGGGGCAAGTTAGGAACATGCAAGACCACTGAGAAGCGGATCACAGTAGTCAAGGCGAGAGAGGACAGTGGCATGGACAAGCACCTTTGCCGTTTCTACGTTAAATAGGGTCAAATGTTTTGGAGATTTGACGATTGATTGGACATGAGGGGTGAAGGAGAGGTCTAAGTCAAAGAGAACACATAGGCAGTGTGCCTTAGAGGTAGATCTGATTGTAGAGCCATTGACGTGGAGGGAAACAGACAAGGGAGTAGACACTTGAGGGAGGGAAGACCAGACGTTCTGTTTTGGACAGGTTCAGTTAAAGAAAATGAGCAGCCGTTAGTTGGAAATAGCAGAGAGACAGTCAGATACATGAGTCAAGAGGGCTGGTGAGAAATCAGGGGAGGACAGTAGACTGTGACCCCCACGATGGGGGAGTGGCTTCAACAGATTCCAGGTGTAACATCTGAAATCACTGCCTGGAAGAGTGCAGTTCTAAGAACTCTAGGCCTCTCATAGAGGACTATATATATATATATATATATATATAGTCCTCTATGAGAGACCTAGAGTTCTTAGAACTATATATATATAGTCCTCTATGAGAGGCCTAGAGTTCTTAGAACTGCACTCTTCCAGGCAGTGATTTCAGATGTTATATATATCATCAATATAACCTGGCAGCCAAGGAAAGTGGACTGGAATGCGTATGCATAAACAATAATGACTTAATTATTCTAGTCAGTGGGGGCACTAGACACCGTTGAGTGAACATCTGTACTGTGTACCGTCACATTCAAAATGACTGAGCGAGTAGAGCAACTAATCTGTATCAAATTTTGTGTTACATTTGAACATTCCTCCACGGAAAATAACTTTTCGGATAATTCAGAAGGCTTTCAGGGACGATGAAATGATTGTAGCGCAAATAAAAGTGTTGCACAAACACTAGAAAGATGGTCGAAAATCTTTTGATGCCCTGTGACTTCTGGCTTTTCCCAAAACTAAAATCACCTTTGAAAGGGAAGAGATTTCAGACTGTAAATGAGATGCATTTAAATACAAGGCAGCTGATGGCAATTCTAACAAAGGATTTTGCAGAGTGTTTTGAACAGTAGAAGAGACACTGGCAGAACTCTGTGTTGTGAAGCCTACTTTGAAGAGGAGTGAGGCGTCATTGACCTTTGTCTTGTATCTTTTTCAATAAATGTCTCTATTTTTCATAATGCATGGCTGGATAGTTTCTGGACAGATAGATAGATAGATAGATAGATAGATAGATATCTTGCTTTTAAATTTTTGTTCTAACATTTTTTTTTCTTCTTTTATTCTAAGTGTCTCAAATGCAAAAAAAAATGGTATTGTAGTAAATAGCATTGTAAATGCAAAATACTTATTAAGCCATAGCTAAGAATGCATATGTACTTAATTATTTTCATTAAACCAATTCTATTATGGAAGGGAGAGAAACAGAGAAACACCTACACAATTCACACTTAGTTTATGCAAAATATAAGTGGCTTCAAGGATCACTGTACCATGAGACCCTCCGGATCACCTCCCAAGAGTCAGATTTCAAATGTGGAGGCACATCATGACTGAATGTACGGGGGTCCGAATCCCAGAAATAAAATGTATTCATGCAGAATAGGTAAGCACCTATGTCCACTGTCCACTATCATCTGTCAACTGTCCCCATTCGCTAAAACCTAGTAGTACAGTGTCCAGGGATCACAAAGCCTTATTCCACATAATAATGAAATAACAATACTATTTTAACAGATCTATTAAATAAACACAGAGTAGTAATTTGATGAATACATGACTGTTTGTGTCATAACATTACGTGTGTTAACTGTGCCTAGGGAAATGGCCTTTTTCTTCAAAGCTCCATAGCAGATCTAGACGAATGCTTTGCTCCCCCAGCACTTAACAGCTTAAAGGATATGCTTAATTACACATTAATAAGTCCATTAGTAGACCAGCTTTGTTTTGTTTTTTGACAGGCCACTAGTGATGAAGGCTAAGTGACGTCTAAAAACGTATGCCAGGAGTTTTTTTCATGTAATAATATAAAGAAGCTCTAACACGACTAACCCCAAAATGCCCAACCAAAAATAAAATATTTAGGGACTGCTGCATATTATAGTTGTTATTCCTTACTGTTTAATGTAGTTCTGAATCCTAAATGAAGATCGTGGAAAGTAAGGGTGCCACTTTTTGGAGCGTTTATGATAACCAAGAGAAACATCACTGGCATCTGCAAATTCACCTGTTGAAAGGTGTTATGGCCATCCTACTGACTTAATGGAGAGGACGGCTGTACATTTTAGAGAGAATAATTGGAACTGTGTTGTAAAATTAATTTTGTGAAAGCTGGTGATATGCAATAAAATACTATATTTTGTAATACAAGTTCTACTTTTATTAACACTGATAATAACTGGTGTGCAGTGTCCTTTACAGTATACTGATAACAGTATTTTGATACTGCACTCCAGCGATAGTATGTCACCTAGTGGAGCACCAGTTCATGGGGACATTGCCAAACCCCAATAGAAAACCAAAATATGATCTTCTATCCTGTATTTCTTTACTTCATTTGTTGTCTGCCCATGTTTATTTTGCCATTTTTTACTTATAAACCTTAAAGGACCACTATAGTGCCAGGAAAACAAACTCGTTTTCCTGGCACTGTATGGTCTTTAGGTCCTCCCCACCCATTCTCGACGAGCTCAAACACTTACTTTTCTCCAGGTCCCCCCACCCATTCTCGCCGAGCTCAAACACTTACTTTTCTCCAGCGCTGGGCTCCCTCGGCAATGGGAAACTCTCCTCCCTCTTCCGACATCAGCACCGAATGCGCATGCGCGGCAAGAGCCACACGCACATTCAGACAGTCCATAGGAAAGCATTTCTCAATGCTTTCCTATGTACGTCAATGAGACAGCCACTAGAGGCTGGATTAACCCATAGGTTAACATAGCAGTTTCTCTGAAACTGCTATGTTTACAGCTGCAGGGTTAACCCTAGATGGACCTGGCACCCAGACCACTTCATTGAGCTGAAGTGGTCTGGGTGCCTATAGTGGTCCTTTAATTTATGAATGTTCTAACACTGTCAAATGATATGGGGCTCCTGGCGTGTAGACCCAATCGCCTGCCCAGAGACCTGATAATAGCTTTTCGTTCTCCTTTGTTTTCTATCATTTCTGTATTCCTGATATGTTTTTCACTCATTCATTTTCTTTCAAGTGGTCATTCTTCCCTCAGTTTATAAAATAAATATACAAATACTTGGCAGGGCCTAAATAGTCAGTTATAACACCCACCTGCACTCTGCAAAAGCCTAGCACCTTTTCAACATTCACTAAACATGGATCTGGTTTCACTGTAAATGGATCTTGAGTTTTATATAGTTGGACACGTTACTCTCATTAATACAGCATCATCCTTTTTCATTCCACACATCTGTCTTTTACAGTCTTTGGCAATGGTTGTTAATTTTATCATACATTTTATTGTTTAGTACCCAAATCTTTGGTGATACTAAGTTAATTTACTTGTCTTTGTATTTGTCCTTTAAAAACAAAATCTTTATTAAAAATGTAATTATTTTTTTTTTATATGATTCTTTTTCCACATGTAATATTTGTTCTTTCATCTCCCTTTCATCACTTTATTGATATGCTTTACAATTAGTTATTTTTTGTTCTTCCATTTAGCTGCCTACTTTGAAGTCGCGCAAAAACCAATGGACCTTATGAATTTTTTTAATCATTTTAATGTGGCTGTTTGAGGTTGCATCCACCATTGGAGAAATAGAAGAAACCTTCAGCTAACTTAAAAAGAAACTTTGTATAACTACCTAAAGCTGACTTTGTCACTTAACATACTAGACCACCACGCTCTGAGTAAACAAATTATTCAAAACCTGCAATTTTTGGATGACCCACAAAACTGAACCACAAAACCTTTGAGATATGGGAAACCTACATTAACAAGTTGCCAGAGTATTCATTTTTAGGTTGCAGTGTCCTTAGCTGGCATCACTCAATGTCCCCCACCCCCAACAAAAAAATCAGAAGTAATAAAGAACAAGCTAATTTTCCCTGTAGGTCAATCATTATCTGGTCATGGGAAGACCTGGCAGCACAATGAGGGGGTAGTGCTGTTGTTGGTCCACTGTTGCCAGCATACTGACTAAAGTCACCCAGTAGGCAGAGATTTATCTTTAGAAATCCTGGAACTATTGTTCCAGGCAGGCTTATGATAACACCATAACAAGCACCATAACTACATCAAATCACTTCAGTGGTTCTGGTGCTTAGAGAAACCCTTTAAATTGAAAAACCCTCAGGGTCCCACTCCCGCCGGGCTGTATGGCAAGGAAAGGGGTTAAACTGACCTTTTTTCCAGCGCCGGGCGGGGAGCTCTCCTCCTCATCTCCGCCTCTGATCCTCCTCTTCGGCTGAATGCGCATGCGTGGCAGGAGCTGCGCGCACATTCAGCCAGTCTCATAGGAAAGCATTCATAATGCTTTCCTATGGATGCTGGCGTCTTTTCACTGTGATTTTCACAGTGAGAAGCACGCAAATGCCTCTAGCGGCTGTCAGTGAGACAGCCACTAGAGGCTTTAGAGGCTGGATTAACCCTATTATAAACATAGCAGTTTCTCTGAAACTGCTATGTTTATAAAAAAAAGGGTTAATCCTAGAGGGACCTGGCACCCAGACCACTTCATTAAGCTGAAGTGGTCTGGGTGCCTAGAGTGGTCCTTTAAGCAAGTCTTTTTTTTCCCCCTAATAGAAAGAATGATTATCACCATAAAAGCGTTATTATAAATGCTGCAGAATTGTTGCCTTAATGTAATACTTTAATCAGCTGGGACATGGGTATTAAAGAATGAATTCATCTGTTAACTTCTACAACTTTATATTCTGCTGATTAAACAAAAATAAATCTCTTGAGAAAATGTCTTCTGTTTGTTTATACAGCTTTACAATCTTCCTTTTGTGTTTTTCTTCTGTAACTCACATAATGTCAGTCATCAAAATTTAAAATAAACACGAACTATAAAACTGGAGGCAAACTTTGAAGGGTAGAGGATTCAGCTTTTTATTTCTACTTCTGAATAATGTTGAGCATTAGTATGCCAATAAAAACGGCAATGTGCTTCGAGTGTCAAATACTGAATGAAAAAAATAAATCTGGCTTAGATCCAACTGGGATTTGTCTACATTCCAACCTTACTCTTATTTTTGCACTGAGTATTCTGAAGGCATCACACAGATTAAGCAGATGTTTGTGTAGTGTAATCTTGATGTGTTGATATACACAGGGGACATCTTAAGATGCAAATTCTCTATCCATAAAAAGTATCACTGAAGAATTAACAGAGGCTTGCAAGAATTTACCTACGTCAACATGGTTTAAAGGTGTTCCCAATGGGACTATGGCTACATAGAGTCTATGTTCATCCCCAGTGTTACGGGTTAGTGGTAAAGTAAAAAAAGGACATTTATCAACTGATGCCTAGACATAGTGACAAAGATGTTAATTAAGGTGATGTTCTCTTTCCCATCAAAAAATACTTTTTGATGCTTATTATTTGCCTTAAAAATAAAAGTCTCTGCCGTAAATCTCTG